AATATATAAACATTATTTCTGTGTGTAGTTCGTTCACCTGTCCGCTGCCTGAGAGCGCTTTAACCCTCGAGAAATCAAACCCCGCCTCCTTCATCTTGTCCAATAGCATGTCCAGAGCCTGATGACACAGACACACGACAGCCAATCAGAACGCAGCACCAGTGAGGTCATTCTTTAACTGGTCTCATTATATGAATGTTAAATTGTCTCTAACTGGTCCTACCTTCACCCACATGAGGACAGGCGAGGTCACCGTCAGTCTGTCAGCGTGGATATGAACCCCTCCCTGAGTCCTGGGGTTTCAAAATAAAAGACTTTAATGATAGAACAATATTTTCAAAGGAAGATTTTCTGTTGTAGAAATGAACGTTTTTCCACCAAACAGTCCCTCTCTCTCTTTAAGACTTTAGAGAAACATGTCCATATGTAGACACAGACTACTATAACAAGTACTACTATTAGTGTGTGTGTGTGTGTGTGTGTGTGTGTGTGTGTGTGTGTGTGTGTGTGTGTGTGCAACACGTTCTCACTCCCAGGGCCCCTCCCCGTCGCTATATTGCGTACAGCGGACCCCTTGACCGTCACGGAGCGTCCACACAGCAGCGTGCGTTACCGCTTGGCGGTGGGCGTGTCTGAAGCTTGGGAATTTTTTGCGAGCAACGCGACCAACAACCAATCACATGAATGTCCCGCCCCGGACATACAAAGCATAGCATTCATGCTACATCCATGCTGGCTAAATATACTGTCTATGCTTGCTAGCTGTCCATTCAAACGAAGTTCACTGGATATAAACTCCCCAAAAAGGCGAACACCTACCAGTGTCACCCTCTGTCTCTGCCACCTCCCCCCATGCCTGGCTCCTCCGGTTTGTATCCCTGTAGGTAAAGAGGGACTGGTCATATAGTACCGCCACGATCTTTTTGACGTCACCCCATTCAAAGTGAATGGGCAGAAGCGTTGAAGCGGCAACGCACGCCGCCGTGTGGAGGGGCCCGACCTTCGTGTTATTCTCGGTGGAAAATGCCTATTTCAAGGTTCATTTGGCCATTAAAATGCGTGTTGATGAGTAATGAGTTTTTATTTCTGATTATTTGTGCAGCACATGTACATGATGTTTAGTTTGCTAGTTATGACGAAGATTACTTCATGGATGTTTACACATTCATGGTTGCTAACGTTTTTTTGGTGGAAATGTGTTTTTTCACAGCAAAGTCACCCTCTGTACTTGGACTTATTGGGAGAATCTAAAGGCAAGAACATCCCAAATATTCATTTAGGTCTTTATGTTAGACCTTTAGTGTTGCCGTCTGTGAGGAAAATAAATGGGGCTCAGAGACTCGTATTTTTTAAATCTTTTTTCCTTCTAATTTGTTATTCTTTTCAAAATAACACACTGTTATTTACTCACCAATAACACACAATTATCCTTGCTTTTATTTATTGGTTTAATTCCATAATCTCGGGCTTCTTTGGCGTCCGTCAGGAACTGAATTTCAAAATAAAAATAACCGGAAACAGAGGTAGGCCTATAAGGGACATTTCGAGCATCATTGCGATTCTCAACATTTTTGAGTTTAGGATGGACGAAGACACTACACTACCCATAATCCCCAGCTATCGTTTAGGACTACAGTCCCCGTGATTAATCTTCAAGCTCTGGGTTTGGATGTTGGAGTGGCAGTGCGCCAAGGTTACGCCGAGCGTCAAACAGCTGTTTGAAATGGAACGAAACCACGCCAGACTATCCAAAACTGGAATCGAACGCCCCCCCAGAACTATACACTACACTATTGTGTTTCGCAAAATGTTCTATGGGACGTCTCTACTGAACATTTTCGTTTTTCCCACAATTAGAAGTTGCCAGTATTAAACACATTGGTGTTATCAAATGTAAAACATATAATTAATAAATGGGTGAAAATCGCTTGTGTCCATAATGCGCAGCATTAATACCCACATGACAGCTCATTGTTACTTTGTAATTCTACTCCACTACAATTCAGAGGTTAACCTGGTATTTTTACTCCACTGCATTTATTTGAGTTACTTTGCAGATTCTGATTAATGATGTGAAATATAAACAACCCTTAAATCAGACTTTAGTTACACCCAGTGCTTGAATTGGAATGAAAAAGGTGCCAGTACTCTAAAAACAGCAACTTTTTCAAGTCAATTTTATATATACAGCCCACAAACAAGAATGTGGCTACTATAATGCTGGTGGGTTTGTCTCTTTACTACTGTATATTTTAGAAAGGTTCACTGTACTTAACATTTGTTATGATAGGCAGCGGATATGGCTAAAGCTCAGTAAGGTCAATATTAACTGAAAATATAGCAATCAAAGTCTAGATCTTCTGCTGAAGACACATGAAGCAGAGACCTTTCAGGTGAGAGCCCCTCTGGTGGTGTTCAACATTAATGACAAGGAAACAAAGCTCTGGTCAGAAGCATTTTTTATAAAAAGCTTTAACAAAATTAAGTATTTCTGTACATTTTGAATGCAATCTAACTTTCCAACTCAGAAAACGAAAAACGAAAAAGTGCCAAAAGTCTTCTCACATGGCTGAGCTGCTTTGCAATATACTTCACCACTGAAGAATACAAATATGTATAAAGTAAACTATGATGCAATCTAACTTTCCAACTCAGAAAAATGATAAAGAGCATGAACAAAGAACATGTAAAAACAAATGCAAAATTTGCACAATCTAAAATGAGAAACTGTAACTGCAAGTAACAAAGTCTGAGCCATGGTAAAGAGTTACATTGAACACCAAGCTGATCAGATAACTCCCTGGTTGGTCTGAAGTCCTTCTATCTCCAGGATCTGTACAAATCGGCACATTATGCCAAAAGTCTTCTCACTGGGTGAGCTGCTTTGCAATATACTTCACATTGTTAGAAAAGGCTCCAGAAGGCCTTGGGGACATCAGTATCAGGGGCTGGAGCTGGACAGGCTCTTTCATCAGCACTTCTCCTTCCCTTTGCCAGCCAGGACCTCACATACTGTTCCGGATTGAACTGTCCTAGTGATGGTCCATTACATTTAATGAAAACCAGGCTGGACAGTCGGCTGACAGAGAGAGCATTCCTTTTTGCAGTAAGGATATCGTTCATGCAGCTGAATGCCCGCTCACACTCACTAGTGGAGACAGCGATGGTTCGGACTGCTTTCAGTAGAGGCTCCATGGCAGCAGGTGTACGGGATGCCCTGGTTTCCTTGTATTCGCGAAAGCCCTGAACAGTCTCTCTTCTGTCCACTTTCAGCACTTCGCACAAACGTAGCACCTCTACATCCCCATACTGTACGTCTAACTCCTCTTCAGGCCAACTTCCAGGATGAATAACTTTCATGTCCTGGATTAGCTGATTGTCCCGGGCCTCCCGGCCATGTAATGGGATTTCTCTTGTGCTGACATGAGAGGAGGTTGTGGAAGTCAGTCTGTGTCTCAGATTCTCTACCATACTGCGGAAAAACTGACCTGCATGAATCTGTACAAGCCTGCCATTCTCACGCAGGGCAACACCCTTGAAGGACTTCTCAGCTAGAGCTGTATGAACTGTAGTCATGTGTGGGCCAGGCATGGTGACCATGGATTCAAAAACTCGTATTTCTCGAGTTAAGAGCCTATCTGCTGTAGGCAGTGTCATCTCTCTTTTTTGGAGTTGCCGAGAGAGGTCGCTGAGCTCTGTGAGCGCATCGTACATCAGTCCCAGATTGCTGACAAACGTTGCAGATGTGAGCACATCATCCAGGCCCTTGTACTTTGCTCTGTCTCTGGAATCCCTGCTCGTGTCGTTTGCAGCATTTGTGAAGTGATCATGAAGCACTCTGTAGTTTTCCCAGACTGCTCTGACGCTCCTTTCACTTGAAGCCACCCAGCGGATGGACAAAACACGCCCTATCACCAGGAGACGCTGTCCGACTGCTTGCGCACACTGCGCTAACTGCCTCTGATTTTTGGGGGAGGCATGGAACAAGGAATAGAGTTTGTCAAAAAAGATCTGGAAATGATTGAGCCCTGAGACCTCCTTGACCACATCCCCAACTGCCAGCTCTAGACGATGATTGGAGCAGTGCCACACAAACAGGCTTGGGAATTTACTACACAACTGGGTAGCAACGCCTGTTCTCTTCCCTAGCATGACTGAAGCCCCATCACATGCAAAAGAAACGAAACACTGACCTAAAAAGTCCTCGTTAAAATCTCTTCCAAGACACTCCATTAACGCCTTTGTGATGTCATCAGCCGTTGTTCCATCCAACTCGATCAGCTCCCAAAAAAACGTTTCGGGCTCAGCATCAGCTAATGCTGAGCGTAGACACACAACAAGCACCGTTTTACCACTAATAGTGGTAGATTCATCGACCAAAACACAGAGTTTTCTTTGCTTTTCTGTAATGTCTTTTGCCATTTTTTTCTTCAGCTCATGAGCTATATGGTCGATGATTTCGCCACAGGTTTTATTGGAGTGCAAAACCCTGCCCACGTTCAGCCCATTCAGTTTCTGTACATTCAAATCAATTGGCATGTCTGTGAATGGCCGGCTATGTTTGCCAATTTGATATGCCGTTCGAAAAACTCTGATAGTGGTGTCTAATTCAGATTTATGCATAGACTGCACTTGATGTTGAATAGTTTCACGTGAAGCAGATGTAAGGATGTCAGCAGCTTTTACATGGGCTTGTGATTCTTTATGTTCTTTGATTTTTGTTCTCAGGCTAGCTTGTTGTTTGTCCTTGTCAACACCGAAATGAGACACTGCACACTCACCCCATTCAGTTGACAGTTTCAGTCCTTGTCCAGTGTGTATTCCCAAAGATTTGACATCTCTGCATATCCGACATCCTAGCTTCTTATCTTTAAGAAGGAGCCATGCATTGGTCTTGCAAAAATATTGCACCTGGTCCGTTGTCCAGCAGTCAGGTGCATCGCTTTGCCCGGTGTTGGTGGTGGCAGTTGCGCCAGCAGCAGCTAACGTTAGAGGCTCTG